AAAAAAAGGCTACACTCTACCTCCATGCTCGTCCGCCTGTGAGCTCAGGTGCGGCAAATCCTCTAGATCAAGGCTGTGAAGAACCTGCTAGGTCACACAGCCCACAAAGTCATTTTTAGTTCGGCACTTACTGCCGAACAGAGAGGTTTATCACTGAGGTTCCCACCGGCAGTGTCTGAGAGTTCCCATGTCTGCCCCTCACGGTTATGGTGGGGTGTTCATAGAGCACCCAGAGCAGCCGCAGTGAGGGCTAGCTCTGGCAACAGCACCATGGAGGGATCTCATGGACATAATGGCAAGTGAGAAAGGCCAGTTGCAGAGTACAAAAGGATTGTGGGGAACTCCGTTCTATCTGTAATATTTTATTTTTTTCTTTAAAAAATACTTGAAGGGAACAAAACAAAATATGGACAAATATCCATTCTAAATGAGGGGAAAATGGGAGTATTTGACATAATGTTCTCAAGACTTAGTAGCATTTTTTTTAAAATACGGAATTGAAAAGGGGGAAGTGATGTGCAGAGATTTCCAAAATATACTCAATATAACAGATTATTTTTGAGCAACTTCCAAATTTGGACTCACTTTTCCCCATGCAGAGGTTCATATTACTGGAGCTGGCTCGCCTTCCCTTGTGAACATTGTTTTAAAGTAGATGAAATATCAAGGAATTTTGGAAGTTCTTATTTTTAGCTGGTAAAATGAAAAATTTCCACAGCATGTAAAATAAGAGCTCGAGTCGCAGCCTGCCTCGTTCACTCCACCTAACTATGAGCACATCTAAAAACTTTTGCAAGGCTATTCTGGGCCTGGGGTGCGGAGGTGACTCACTGTGTCCCTCCCTCACCCCATCCCCCTCCTGTTTATTCAGGTGAAGTCAGATTAAAAAGAACATCAAGGGCAGCTTTGGGAGGGAGGAGGAGTCAGAGACTCTGAGAGACCCTGAGAGACCGCCTTAGACCAGGGATGATGAGAGTCACGTGGGTGACGTGCTGGCTTCTTAATCGGAGTCACCCACAATTTACTGAGCACCCATTCCCCAGGAAGAGCACTAGTTTCACAGGCCTTGCTCTGTGTTCCTGTGAAGGGAGCGTGTAGGGTGAGCACTGGCAAGGTTATTTTTTATGCCCTCTTTTTGATAAATGTAAAACTCTCATGCCTGCTTTTAATGTTACCTGTGTTTACATAAAAGTACGTGGATAAAAGTAGGTCAGATGTGCCCCGTGCCGGGCTGAGAATCTCTGCTCGAGACTGAGGTGCCAGTAGTGCCCTGAAACTCCCTGGTTTGGGCCAAATCTGTATTTGGAGCCTGACCTGACCACTCATAGGCTGTGGACTTCAGGTGAGCTTCTTGCGTTCTCTCAGCTTCTATCCCCTTCTCTGAAAAGGTGATCTGGATGCCACGCAGGGCTGCTTTGCAAGTTCTATGAGGCACTTAGCCCCATTGCCAGTTACTTAAACAAACAAACAAACAAACAAAAATCCCTGAAAACTTTAATCTGAATTATAGCCTTGAGAAGTAGGCTAACCCCCCTTCCCCCCATTTTATAGATGAGAATACTGAGGCCCAGACCCACAGTTTAGCAAGTTACTTCTCCTAATTGCAGAACAGGGCTAAGCCCCCAGGTCTTGTGCATCCAGGCCAGGCCCCTTTCACTGGGCCAGCCCTGGCCTAGTGTCTGCATGTGAACAATAGGTCTTGAGTCACCTTCTTACCTGTCCAGGGTGATCTGGCGCATGGGGCTCCCCAGGACCCCTGGATCCAATTTCCTCAGCACTCATTAAGTGAGTACTATATTTCCTCCTATGTGTTCTGTCAGCTGGGCTGTGAGCTCAATTTCAGAGAAGACCAAGTCTCCTAGTCTTTCTCAACAAGCCACTAGCCTCAGAGAAATAGGTTGACTTCCATGTGAGAGGCTTTTAATGGAGACCTTCCCTGCATAACCTCATTTTAGCTCCAAGTTTCACCATGCAGCCTTTTTATTTTTTTTTTTTTACCAGTGACTCACACACGTACGCACAATCTAAATAGATTTTCCTACCTGTCCCCTGAACCCTTTCTGCCCTTTCTCAAGTTTCTGAAACTCTCAGCCTCAGTTTCCTCACCCATAAAGTGAGGACATTAATATCTGTCCTGCTTATTCTGTGGGTCAAAATGAGATGTTACGTAGGAAAACCTTTTGTAAACTTTGAGGCAGTTTCCTTTCTGACTTTTTCACCTACCGGTCCAGCCTGAACCCCTCCTTCCTCAAATGAGCAGGAGGATTGTGTCTTCTGTTCTGAAAGCCTTTGTCAGCAGAGCTCCCCAGCTGCCTCAGCTGAGGGGGAACCAAATGGTCCCACATTCGGTAAAGGAGGAAATAGTGCCTCAATGCTGAAAAATTCACTGAGTTTCTAGCACTTGTTCGGTAAAACTCTGTTGGCTTTTAAGTTACACTCATTCCAGGAGACCTACAGTCTTCTCTCTTACCAGTTTTTAGCAATGAAATCTCTGTCAAGTTACTTAATATATCAGAGCCTCAGTTTCTTCCTTTAGAATATGTGATAGTACCTGCCTCATTGCGTTATAGTGTCAAATGAGGACACAGTATGGTAGGCAGTCAACACATGTGACATTTTTATTTTTCTCTCCCTTCTCTTTATGCTTCGAAACCTCTGTGCCTCTGCTTGTTCTTCCATGAAATGGGGATAATAATACCTGGCCTAGGTAGCTCACGGGGCTGTTGTGTGACTATGGAATATAGGCTGCGGTAGGGCTTTGAAATGGTGACATGTAGTTATAAATAACTGTCTGGGGTTATTCTAGGGATAGCTGGCCTTGAACTGATGGGTGTGCTGGTCCTTACAGGCCTGAGCTATTGTATGCCGTGGCCACATTTAGAGGGTCCCTTAACACAGCGTCTCTCACTGTTCTTCCTGAGGCCCCTGATGCTCTCCCATCTCCCTGGGGCGCTCTGCAGCCTCCTCACACCTGCCACTCACGTGCCTCACCCTCTCTGTCCCTCTCTCCGCTCTGGGTCACAAGGCACTGGCCATCCACTCACTGCTCTCAGGATGCAAAAATGGTGTCTACCCCAATCGCGCCAACTGTCAGGAGCCGCCTGTCACGTGATGCCCCACCCCTTAGCCTCATGAATAAACACTGAAGAGACTCATTATGAGGCGATAAGGAAAACAGGAAGTGCCCCTAAAAGCCACCCTCCTCCCCACCAGAGGCCACCAGCATCTTTAGCAACCAGAGGACCAGCCTGCTCTGCCCTTGAAGAAGAGCCCTGGTGTCTTGGACCCAGAGGAGACTGTGCACGGGGGCGGGAATAGGATTCGGGATTAAGGAGGGCAGGCCACAGAGGCAGGGGGACTGAGCTGCTCTATTCTGGGCACAGTTTCAAGGCCAGCTGCAGGGAGAACAAGCAATCGCTGTGCGCCTGCAGCTGGCAGTGGCTAGGCCCGGGCTGTCCTTCAATTAGGGTATATTTAAAGAGACCCCACTAGGGGGTCATGCCAACAGGAAAAATGCACACTCTCTGGTAGCCACAGTCTCTTCAGCTCAACACTCTTCTCCGTGCTGCAGCTTCCAGGCAAGGGATTTACGGATCAACAGGATGGCTGGCTCCTTGGCCTCTCCCAGGTGTAGGTGGTACCGCCTGGGGACACAACCAGGGCTCCTAGGCCTCTGTGCCCTCTAACTGGGCTGGCCAAAAGTTTGGGGGATTAGCTGGATTGGCTCCTCCCACCCTGGGGTTGGTAACTCAGCAACCAACGGGGAGAGGCAGACAGATGAGTCAAATGCAAGCACAGAATCTCTCTGGCTTTGTGTTTTGTTTGTGAACACTCCCTGTGAGAGCAGACTCCCTTCCGGCAGGGAGTGGTGGGGCTTTCCCACACTGCTTCAGGCCAAATGTTGCTCCTTATAGGGATGCCCAGACCCCACTTGACTGCTAATGGAGGCGTAGGGACAAAGCCCTTGGGCCAGGAGGAGCCCATCCTGGCTGAACTCTCTGGCTTGGTCTTTCACAAGTGAAAACAAGACGACAGGCCAGAATCCCACGGGAAGGTGGGATTGGTAGCTGAGAGCGGCAGGCGAGGGAACCAATGGACCTGAGATCCTGCAGAACTGAGCCAGCGGGCAAAGGAGTTTGGGCTTTTAGGTTACCGGAGACAAGCAGACCTTTTCAGAGCAGTGAGAGCACTTTCCCAAAGCAATCCAGAAGAAGTGGGGTGAGTGGGTGGGAGCGGGGAGTGGGTGGAAGCGGGCAGCTAATCAGCCCCGGAAGGGGAGCCAACATGCAAACTGTCTGAGGCAGGCAGGCCACTACAAGCGCCGGAAGAATCAGTGAGACACGAGTGCACCGGCAGGATCAGCTATGCAATTTGAAGGGCCCAGTTCAAAATGAAAATGCAGGTCCCTTTGTTAAAAAATTATCAAGAATTTCAAGATGGCGACAGAAGAGCATCACATGGAGGGTCTGTCTGAGTGACTACATAGGTTGCACACCTGCAAAGCCAACACTGGGTGCCTATAAGTCAGCTCCTCAAAGCAGCTATGATAGCCCAGGTGGGTTAGCTGGGGATGGCTGGCCATCTCTGGCCTTACCTCCCTCTCACCCCTGCTGCCTCGTGGCCACCAGTTCCCAGGTTTTTCCCAGGCTTGGGACACTGCCTCTACCTCAGCAGCATCTTCTCTCCCTGGGCTGGCGGCAGCTAAGCCTTCACTGTTCTAAAAAGGGGGAACTGCAAGGCACAGTGGGAAGAGGGCTGAGGGCAGGAACGCTGGGACACTAGACCCCAGAGCCCCAAGGACTCCCTGGACAGGCCAAGAAAGGCCAGCGCAGTGACGGGAGCCTCCTCTGAGTGAGGCTGCCGAGGATGAGGTGCAACACAGGGACTACGCTCTGGATCACCAGCTAAGGATCCAAGGGGACGTGCCCTGAGGGTGTGTGTGTGACCGTCCAGGAGAAGAACCAAGGTCCAGGGAGCTTTCTCCGCACTTGGGAACTTACCTCCAACTCTATGTGGTCGTGGAGTTTCTTGCAGGTGGCTGCAAAGGTCTCTGAAGTGCCAAATTCAAAGTACCACAGCTTGTTCTTCATCCTGGACCGTGAAGCAGAGACATGGCTCAAAATTCTGGACTTGAAATGGTCATGTAAAACAGCTGTGCTACCAGGGCTGGGAGGCCCAGGCCCTCAGCGTTCCCCAAGCTTCTCTTTTCAGCACTTGTTAATCAGATGATCAAGGAGGGAAATTTTTTTTTACCAACTGTTCTTGGTCTGACCTTAAAGAAAAAAACCCATTCATTTCTTAGACATCATGGCAACTCTGGGTGAACCACCACCTGGTCTCTGAGCTTCCTGGTCAGAGCAGGGGACAGGCCTGTTTGCCTCTGTATCTGAATCAAGGGAAGAGTTCTGTGAGAATCAGCCAGTGGTGGCAAGTGACAGCATTCTCTGGTCACTGTCCTTTCCACTACTAGTGCAGAGGGACTTCGGGCAGACCCCTCTCTTGGATTTAGTTGGGGTTCAGAGGGAAGCTCAGCCAGCCTTTGGGGACTGGAGTGATATACAGCCTTGGGACAGTGGAGGGACAGCCCCACAATAAACCAGCCAAAATGGGTGCTGCTTTGTCTATGTTCTGACTGAGGGGAAGCAGAATGGGGAGAATTAGGCTCAGAATTGCAGGCAAGGAGGAAAGAGAAAAAAAAGAAAAGTGAGTTGTTTGGTAGCCATTATTTCCCTCACTTCTTCCCCAATTGCATTTGGCCATAATCATGTTTCACTTAGGGTTGACCTTGTCATATTTGCTTCAAAGTCAGAGCTCACCACTTTTTGAGCTCTAAGTTTTTCAACATTTTCCTTAGTGGGGGAAAACAATGGGGTTCCCGCGCAGCAGGGGGCTTTGCAAAGTCAGATGGTGTGTCCTGACACTTGGCTGTTTTGATCAGATGGTCTCACCAGGAAGTGTTTCTGAAGGTATTCCATTCCTTCCATCCCAACTGTTGTCCCACAATCAGGGGCTGGCTGAGAGAAGGGACACCTGTCCAGTTTATAAGCTGGCAGATTTTGCTAAGGAAGGATTAAACGAAATCACATTCTTCTTGGCACATTCTTCAGTAGAGAGGAAACTACCTTGTGTGTTGCTGATCCTCTATGCTCAGTTTGTGAACTAAGAGGACAGGAGCATTCTTCAGAGGGAAGAAGGCTCTTATTTCTCCCTAGTATCCCTTAGGCCATAGCAGATGACTCTTCAGAACAGCAGACATAACTATTCTCTCTGCATTTTTCAAAGGGCCCACCTAGAACTTGAAGACGAGACTATGTTCCTCCATTGCTTGAAGATTTCTAAGACCTAGTTGATTGAGAGGGTAGACTTTCTGACTCTTAGCTTGCATGAGAAGAAATGATAAGTCATGAATGAAATAAGAATAAGCAAGATTTCGGGAGTTAAGCCCATTGTGCTGTGTCACACGTGGAGCAGGCTATTTCACAGCAGGCATTCTCATCTGTATGAAAAAAAAAAAAAAAGAGAGAGAGAAAGCTTTTCCTTTCTGTGCTTGCCATGATGTGAAAAAATGCTGGGAAACTATTCTAGGTCACTGGTTCTCTGCATGCACAGTAATGTAAATACAAGTCAATTGGGAATTTCATCAAAATGCAAGCTGTGATTCAGTAGTTCAGGATTGGGGCCTAAGGATACCTTGTTTCCTAACAAGCTGCTGATGCTGATCCAGAAACCACACTTGGACTTGGGAGCATCTGGAGACTACATTTGTGGTTCTGAAACATTGTATTCATAAGAGTTAGCTGAGGAATGTGAATAAAATGCTGCTTCCTGGGCTCCAATCTGCAGAATTTCAATGTGATACTTGTAGGATGAGGCCCAGGAATATGCATTTTTATGAGTGCCCAGGTGATCATTATGCAGGTGGTCAGTTTTCAGGACTCTGAGAAACATTTGCTCTAGATCCCAGTGAAATGACAACTAAGGAAGAGGACAGAATGATTAAAGCTGAAAGAGAGAATTTCTCAGCGAGGATAGAATGCGGGTCAGTGCCTTTCAATAGACAATGATGGCAAAAGACCCAATAACAGGAAAAACACAGACTGTGATAAACGTCAAGGTTGAGCATTCCCCTCCAGCAGTGAGAGTATCTCTGTAGCCAGGAGACCTGCTTTGTGATACCATTTTCTTTCTTTCTTTCTTTCCTTCTTTGTGATGCCATTTTCAAATATCACTGCAGGTCTGAATCATGACTTTTGAAAGTTATTGCCAGGAGATTTAGAGTTTTAATAAAAATTTTCGGAAGCCACAAGCTGTTTTGTCCAAAAGTGACTCTTCTGATGTTCTAATAAGGTTAGAAGGTCATGATCAGGTCAATATTGAAGAATGACTGAAAGGATCAAACAGACTACTTGTCCATTGCTGCTTAGGTGTCCATTGTGGCTGTGCAAACTTTGGCAATTTTTTAAGCCTTAGTTTCCTCATCTGTAAAATAGGGATAGTAAAAAGATCTGCTTCAAAGTGCAGTTGAGAAAATTAGATGAGATTATTACAAAGCACTTCACATGATGCTTGCTGCATAGTAAGCTCAACAGGAATGTTTGCTACTTATTAGCTATTATTTTAATGCCTTGAATTGACATATTTGGATACCATAGTAAGATAAAAATGACAGATCAGGTTGGGTACCTGCATATATGATGCATTCAAATTTTTCTGGAACAGAAAAGTATGTGATCCTATCCGTCAGATCATGTGTCTTGACTTTTGATTGAAAACATATGTGCCCCATGTGTCTGTCTAATTTGATAGGTTTTTCCAGAGTCATTGATCACACCCAATTCCTTGGTTAATTATCTTGACTGGTCACATGATTGTCCGAAAATGTTGAATGAGACTATGCTTCTGAGGAAGCACTTGTTTGGTGTGAGAAAAAAAGCATTTATCAATTAAAGAGACACTCACTGTGCCAGGACTAGATGGGGGTGTGCTAGGTACAATGACAATGAAACATGGCACTCCATGGGCCAGGCACCTGACAGGCAGGCAAGGAAACAGATCGCAGTGTTGTGAGCTAAGCACTAAGCACTGGGAGCAGCTAGGAAGAGGTGACATCCAATTCTCAGCGCAAGCCAGGGTCCCTTGGAGAAAGGATCCTAGGCGGGCGATGCCAGGGTTGAGTTCTGAGGGATGCGGAAGGGAGCAGAGAAGGTGAGGAAACAGTGTCCAGGCAGAGGACGAAGCCTAGACAATGGCACAGGGCAAGAGAGAGCATAAACCTGCTGGAGGGAACCTGGAACTCAAGGCGGTGGGGGCGGGGGGCGGCAGGAGGACTGGTCAGGCCAGGCTGGGGAGGCAGACAGGAGAAGGGTACAAGGGCTGGGGATGCCGCGCTTCAGCGTTTGGGCTTTTTCTTAAGGCCTGCGCTGTGTCGTGGGTCCTCCTTAAGTGGGAATGGTGGTGAGGGTGGTAGCGGTGATGACCTCATCAGCCTTGTGCTTGGCACAGAGATCCCTCTGCGCCAAGCGTGGAGAGGGGGCCGGAAGGGGGTGACTACAGACTGGAGGCCTGGAGAATAGTTTGGGGGTGGGATAGGGATCCAGGAGAGAATTGCGGAGGGCCTGATGGAAAGTAGTGACAAGAGAGTTCGGGAGAAGAGAATATATTCATAAGCTAAAATTTAGGAGGTGGAATTCACAGCACTGGTTGGGTATAACGAGTGAGTGAGAAAGAGTAGTCCCAGCGGCGCGCCCAAGTTTTTGTCCCATATAGCACGATAGATGGGAGGGGGGCACAGGAGATTCGTTCTCCAGTGGCAGCCCTTTTGTAATCGAAAGGAAGCACTTTTGGTTTTTGGCTCATTCATTCGTCCATCCATAAAACATCTATTGAGCTCTGTTACGAGCCGGTCACTGTGGAGGGCCTGGGGACAAGTGAATAAGAGAGGTAGGATGTCTGTCCCCACAGAGCTTACATAGTTTTCCGTTTCACCAAGGCACTAACACTTGACCTCTGGCTTCCAGGAGACTAGGAGTTCAAAACCTAAGAGTTTTTATTTCACCTGTTTTGACTTAGGCAAGTTTTAATTAGAAGTGAATTCATTCTATTCTCAGGGCTCTTTGGTTTTGCACTCTGCTAAACATTTTATATATACTCTCTTTCAGTTCTCAGACGAACCCTGTGAAGTAGGTACTGCTGCTACAAATAAGGAAGCGGAGACTTTGCCTAAGGTAGCAAAGCAAGGAAGTGCGGTGGGGTCACCCAACGCAGACTGTCTGACCCGAGAGCTGTGCTTGCTGCCCTGCAACCCTGTCTTAGCATGCGTTCGCACCTTTTGGGGTGCGGTGGTGTGTGCTTGTATTACACTAACGAGACTGCTGTGGTTCTCCTTCACTGGGCTGTTAAATGGGTGCCCTTGGGGGCTGGGTGTTAGTGGTGCCATCACATCTTAGGAAATGCTGTCTAATGAATGAAGAGTGCCATGCCCTCCCAGTTCCCAGATGCCAGGGAAGTTCTAGAAGAGTTCGGATTGCATTTGTCATAGGAACCTCCTGGTCTTGAATTTATACAGACTGAGAGAATCAGAAAGACCAGAACTAACCCCGGGCAAAGTCGTATGCTCCCAGGACACCCTGCACCTTTCTTCTCTCAGAAACGGGGCAGAGGCAGTGTGCCTTTGAACTAGCCCAAACATAGAGTGGAACAGAAAAACCTAGGTGACAAACCTAAGTGCCTCTTCAGGCACCTCGCCCTGCAGGTTTAACAGAGGCCTTTTTCAGCCAGTCATTGTAACAGAGAGCAATGTGGCTTAATGTAAAGACCCCAGAATGGAATCAAAGATTCCTGGTTCAAATTCTGACTCTGCCTTTTATGGGCTGTGTAACTTTGAGCAAATTTGTCATTTTTCTGAGCCTCTTACCCATCAAATAGGCTAATATTTAACACAGTGTTAAAAATATTAAATGAGACATGTAAAATCATCTAGAACAGATCTTGGTCTATAGAAGGTCCACATCCCCTATACACATTAAATGTTCATCGATCGAATGTTACTGCTGCCTTGTCAACAATCCAAGTACTGTTTTCCTAGTGAAGGT